CACTAACTATCACAACTATCACAAACAACAATAACTATACAAACAAAAAAACTATCACAACAACAATAAACTATCACAACTATCACCACAACAATAACTATCACAACAACAATAACTATCACAACAACAATAACTATCACAACAACAATAACTATCACAACAACAATAACTATCACAAACAATAACTATCACAAAAAACAATAACTATCACTACAACAATAACTATCACAATAACTATCACAAAAACAATAACTATCACAACAACAACAACTATAAACAACAATAACTATCACAACAATAATATCACAAAAAATCACAACAAAATTTAACTATCACAACAACAATAACTATCACAAAAATACTACAAAAATAACTATCACAACAATAACTATCACAAACAACAACTATCACAACAACAATAACTATCACAACAATAACTATCACAATCACAACAACAAAAAACTACACAACAACAATAACTATCACAACAAAAAACTATCACAACTATCACAACAACAAAACTATCAAAACAATAACTATCACAACAACAATAAACTATCACAACTATCAAAACAACATAACTATCCCCAACAACAATAACTCAAAAAACAACAATAACTATCACAACAACAATAACTATCACAACAACAATAACTATCACAACAACAATAACTATCACAACAACAAAACTATCACAACAACAAACTATCACAACAATCACAACAACAATAACTATCACAACAATCACAACAACAATAACTATCACAACAACAAAAAACTATCACAACAATAAACTATCCTCAACTATCACAACAACAATAACTTCCCACAACATCACAACAACAATAACTATCACAAAAAACAATAACTATCACAACAACAAAAACTATCACAACAACAATAAACTACCCAAAACAACAATAACTATCACTACAACCCAATAACTATCACAATAACTATCACAACAACAATAACTATCACAACAACACAAACAATCACAACAACAAAACTATCACAACAAATAACTATCACAACAATCACAACAAAAATTTATCACAACAATAACTATCACAACAATACAACAATAACTATCACTAAACAATAACTATCAAAAACAATAACTATCACAACAACAAAACTATCACAACAATAACTATCACAACAATCCAACAATAAACTTTTCACAACAAAATAACTATCACAAACTATACAACAAAAACTATCAAACAAAAATACTATCACAAAATACAACAACAATAACTTCACTACAAAATAACTATTCAAACAAAAACTTATCACAACAACAATAATATAAACAAATAACTATCACAACAATAACAACAACAATAACTATCACAACAAAATTTAACTTATCACAACTATCACAACAAAAATAACTATCACAAAACAATAACTATCACAACAACTATTCACAACAACAAATACTATCACTAAAAAACTAATCACAAACAAACAATAACTATCACAACAAAAATAACTATCAAACATAACTTTTACAAATACAACAAACAATAACATCAAAACCCTATCACAACAACAACAATACACTACAACAAAACTATCACAACAATAACTATCACAAACTATCACAACAACAATAACTATCAAAAACAATAACTATCACAACAATAACTAACTACAACAAAAACTATACAACAATAACTATCCCCAACAATAACTATCACTACAACAAAACTATCACAACAATAACTATACAACTATCACAACAACAATAACTATCACTACAACAATAACTATCACAACAATAACATCACAACAATACAAACAACAATTAACTATCACAACAACTAACTATCACTACAAACATAAACTATCACAACAATAACTATCACAACAATAACTATCACAAAAACAATAACTATCACTACAACAATACACTATCACAACAACAATAACTATCACAACAATAACTATCACAACAATAACAAATCACAACTATCACAACAACAATAACTATCACTACAACAACAACTATCACAACAAAAAAACTATCACAACAATAACTATCACAAACAATAAACTATCACAACTACACACCAATAACTATCACTCCCAACAACAATACACAAAATAAACTATCACAACAATCACCAACAACAATAACTATCACAAAAATAACTATCACATCACAACAACAAAAAACTATCACAACAACAAAACTACACTACAACAACTATCAAAAACAATAACTATCACAATCACAACAACAATAACTATCAAAAAAATCAAAACAACAATAACTATCACAACAAACAATAACTATCACTACAAACAACTATCACAACAATAACTATCAAAACAAATCACAACAACAATAACTATCACAACAACAATAACAACTTATCACAACAACAATAACTATCACAACAACAATAACTATCACAACAACAATAACTATCACAACAACAAAACATCACAACAACAATAACTATCACAACAACAAAAAACTATCAACTACAACAATAACTATCACAACAAAACTATCACAAACAATAACTATCACAACAACAAATAACTATCACTACAACAATAAAACTATCACAACAACAATAACTATCACAACAATAACTATCACAACGTATCCACAAAAAAACAATAACTATCACAACAACAACTATCACAAAAAATCAAAAACAACTATCACAAAAAACAATAACTATCAAAACCCAATAACTATCACAACAATCACAACAACAATAACTACCCACAGCAATAACTATCACAACTATCACAACAATAAACTATCACAACAATACTATCACAACAATCACAACAACAATAACTATCACAACACAAAACTATCACAACTATCAAAACCCAACAATAACTATCCACAACAATAACTATCCAACAACAATCACAACAAAAAACTATCACAACAATCACAACAACAAAACTATCACAACTATCACAAAAAACAATAACTATCACAACAATCCACAACAACAATAACTATCACAACAATAACTATCACAACAACCCACAACAACAATAACTATCACAATCACTATCACAACTATCACAAAAACAAAACTATCACAACAACAAAAAACTATCACTACAACAATAACTATCACAACAATAACTATCACAACAATCACAACAACAATAACTATCACTACAACAATAAACAACACAACAACAATAACTATCAAAAACAAAACAACTATCACAACAACAATAACTATCACAACAATAGCTATCACAACAACTATCACAACAACAATAACCTCAAATTAATAGTAGCATCAACAACAACAATAACAACAGCAACAACTACAAAAACAACTACAGTATATAAGAAAACTGATATGAAACCTTGATGCTGACGCGTATTTATTACGCTTGCTCTGTACCCACTAATTCTGCCCTCATCCCCCCACACACCCTACACTATAACCCTTCCCCACACCTCCCACACCTCACCCAGGCCCTGAATTGCATCCAAAACTTGACACTTAACAAGGTAATTAACTATTCAACTTCATCCATTGATCATTTAAGCGTTGCTGCGCCTCCCTGCTAACTGCCTCGTTAAACACCCACCTACACTCTCCCACGTCCACACACCCACACCTAAAACACCCACACCAAAACACCCACACCCACACACCCACATACACGTCAAGAAATTAGAGAAAGTGCAAAGGTTTGCAACAAGACTAGTCCAGAGCTAAGGGGATTGACCTATGAAGAAAGTGTAAGGGAAATCGGTCTGACGACACTGGAGGACAGGAGGGTCAGGGAGACATACTAATGACATATAAAATATTGTGGGGAATTGACAAGGTGGACAAAGACAAGGTGTTCCAGAGAGGGGACACATTAACAAGGGGTCACAATTGGAAGTTGAAGACTCAGATGAGTCAAAGGGATGTTAGGAAGTATTTCTTCCTAGAAAGCGACGTAGTGGAGGCGGGAACCATACATAGTTTTAAGACGAGGTTTGATAAACTCATGGAGCAGGGAGAGAGAGGACGTAGTAGCAATCAGTGAAGAGGCGGGGCCAGGAGCTATGACTCGACCCCTGCAACCACAAATAGATGAGTACACACACAAGAATCAGCAAGCCTTAAGGAACGCTTCCAAAAAGACAGCCACATTGAGGGATCAAGTAGGCAGATACTAGCAACTGCATGCTAGCTAGACACTAGCAGATATATGCTAGCTAAACACTAGCAGCTGCATGCTAGCTAAACACTAGCAGCTGCATGCTAGCTAGACATTAGCAGGTGCTTGCAAGCCAGATACTAGCAACTGCATGCTTGTATGCAGATAAAAGAAGGAACTTGCCTTGTTGCTGCGGTAGCCGACAAATTGCCATAATGAGGTAACAATAACCTTACTGGCTTGCCAAGTGTTCCAATCAGGTTGTCATAGCAATTACCTGATTCAACAGATTAACAACACTATTGTTCATAGGAGAAATTATATTTGCCATAGGATCTTCATGGCCAGTGAAGCTTGGTTGCCTTACTACCTATTAGGCTTGCCATGAACACAGCCACTTAATCCATTACCTCACTGGAAGGCATTCTTGTTGTTGTTTATAGAGCCACTGACAGGTACGCCGTGTCGAGCCTTTCTAGACGATGTTCAGTCTATTGTGTCAGACGTTAGCTAGTCAATGTAGTACCTCTGGGAATGATGTTAACCTTCTAACGCTTATATGACATCGTTTAGCCAGGAAACCTACATGACGGCTGTGGAACCTCTATGGTTTATCAAAGAACCCATGTATGTGAACCTGTGCGGTTCGTTAACGAGTCTGTCTGGTTTGTCCAACGACCTCCGTGCTATATGAAAGAACTTCCGTGTTTTTTTTTTTAAAGAACGTTTGTAGTTTGTCAAAGAAATTGTTGTTTGCTAGAGAACTTCTCTGCATTTTAATGAATCTGTGTGATCTGTTAAGTAACCTCTCTGGTTTAAAAACCTCTGTAATTTATCATAGGACTTACCTGATTACCGTAACCGTTGGTATAGACTCTGAAGTCGGGTAGACCTGGTCTCCAGTACTCTAGACCGTAGGCCTCCGTGTACTCTAGACCCTTGCCGTTGTAGAAGCGTCCCTGAGTACCTGTGGCAGTGATCACGTGTACTCGACCCAGGTCCACCTCCAGGTACTCTCTAGAGTGGGCGTTCAGCTGACCTTTGGGGCACCACGCCCCTCCTTTAGTTTCCACGCGAACCCTGTGGAGGGAAGGGTGGAGGGGTGAGTGTCGCTGCTGGAGGGAAGAGTGGAATATGACTGTCACTACTGGAAGGTAGAGTGGAGGTTGACTGTCCTTATTGGAGGGTAGGGTGGAGATTCACTGTCACTACTGGAGGGTAAAGTGAAGGGATGAGTCATACTGCTTTAGGGAACAGTGGAGGGTGACTTTTACTGCTGGAAATAATAATAATAATAATAATAATAATAACACTTATTGGGAAAGTGGAAAAGAATTCTTCCTCCGTAAGCCATGCGTGTCGTAAAAGGCGACTAAAGTGCCGGGAGCAAGAGGCTAGTGACTCCTCCTCCTGTATAAATTACTAAATGTAAAAGGAAAAGATTCGTTTTCCTCTTCAGGTCACACTACCTCGGTGGTATACAGCCGGTGCGGTAAAATAATAATAATAATCATAATAATAATAATAATAATGTCCAATCTGGCTACCTTCATGACGTACAGAGGAGGTCAAAGCATAATAGCTAGAAAAGAACCAACTGCCTCCCTCCAAAAACTCTTGGTACCTGGTGAAGGCTCAAACCACTGCCCCAGAGCTGAGCTCACTCTCACCTGAGTTACGACCAGACTTTTAAAGGACGGCCATTTGAATGACGTATGTCTGGGTAGTTCCATGTGATGAATGGTCTTCTGTTTTATTCATGCTGGAAGCTGTAATGACTCTGGTAATGTTATGGCGGCCATAACTTCTGCTAGAAATCTGAGGCAAGAAAGATTTTTGTACAAAAGCTACTTAAAAGATTAACGTAATGTAGTAATGCAAAAATAACATTCTCTGTACTCTCCAGAGTGCAGGCCACTGAGTACTCCCTGGAGTGCAGGCCACTGTGTACTCCTGGAGTGCAGGCCACTGTGTACTCCCTGGAGTGCAGGCCACTGTGTACTCCCTGGAGGCAGGCCACTGTGTACTCCCTGGAGTGCAGGCCACTGTGTACTCCCTGGAGTGCAGGCCACTGTGTACTCCCTGGAGTGCAGGCCACTGTGTACTCCCTGGAGTGCAGGCCACTGTGTACTCCCTGGAGTGCAGGCCACTGTGTACTCCCTGGAGTGCAGGCCACTGTGTACTCCCTGGAGTGCAGGCCACTGTGTACTCCCTGGAGTGCAGGCCACTGTGTACTCCCTGGAGTGCAGGCCACTGTGTACTCCCTGGAGTGCAGGCCACTGTGTACTCCCTGGAGTGCAGGCCACTGTGTACTCCCTGGAGTGCAGGCACTGTGTACTCCCTGGAGTGCAGGCCACTGTGTACTCCCTGGAGTGCAGGCCACTGTGTACTCCCTGGAGTGCAGGCCACTGTGTACTCCCTGGAGTGCAGGCCACTGTGTACTCCCTGGAGTGCAGGCCACTGTGTACTCCCTGGAGTGCAGGCCACTGTGTACTCCCTGGAGTGCAGGCCACTGTGTACTACGTGGAGTGCAGGCCACTGTGTACTCCCTGGAGTGCAGGCCACTGTGTACTCCCTGGAGTGCAGGCCACTGTGTACTCCCTGGAGTGCAGGCCACTGTGTACTCCCTGGAGTGCAGGCCACTGTGTACTCCCTGGAGTGCAGGCCACTGTGTACTACGTGGAGTGCAGGCCACTGTGTACTACGTGGAGTGCAGGCCACTGTGTACTCCCTGGAGTGCAGGCCACTGTGTACTACGTGGAGTGCAGGCCACTGTGTACTCGCTGGAGTGCAGGCCACTGTGTACTCGCTGGAGTGCAGGCCACTGTGTACTACGTGGAGTGCAGGCCACTGTGTACTCGCTGGAGTGCAGGCCACTGTGTACTCGCTGGAGTGCAGGCCACTGTGTACTCGCTGGAGTGCAGGCCACTGTGTACTCGCTGGAGTGCAGGCCACTGTGTACTCGCTGAGTGCAGGCCACTGTGTACTCGCTGGAGTGCAGGCCACTGTGTACTCGCTGGAGTGCAGGCCACTGTGTACTCGCTGGAGTGCAGGCCACTGTGTACTCGCTGGAGTGCAGGCCACTGTGTACTCGCTGGAGTGCAGGCCACTTTTGTACTCCCTGGAGTGCAGGCCACTGTGTACTCCCTGGAGTGCAGGCCACTGTGTACTCCCTGGAGTGCAGGCCACTGTGTACTCCCTGGAGTGCAGGCCACTGTGTACTCCTGGAGTGCAGGCCCACTGTGTACTCCCTGGAGTGCAGGCCACTGTGTACTCCCTGGAGTGCAGGCCACTGTGTACTCCCTGGAGTGCAGGCCACTGTGTACTCCCTGGAGTGCAGGCCACTGTGTACTACGTGGAGTGCAGGCCACTGTGTACTCCCAGGAGTGCAGGCCACTGTGTACTCCCTGGAGTGCAGGCCACTGTGCACTACGTGGAGTGCAGGCTACTGTGTACTCGCTGGAGTGCAGGCCACTGTGTACTCGCTGGAGTGCAGGACACTGTGTACTCGCTGGAGTGCAGGACACTGTGTACTCGCTGGAGTGCAGGACACTGTGTACTCCTTGGAATGCAGGTCACTGTGTACTCCCTGGAATGAATGCCACTGTGTACTCCCTGGAGGGGCAGGCCACTGTGTACTCCCTGGAGTGCAGGCCACTGTGGACTCGCTGGAATGCAGGCCACTGTGTACTCGCTGGAGTGCAGGCCACTATGTGCTCGCTGGAGTGCAGGCCACTATGTGCTCGCTGGAGTGCAGGCCACCGTGTACTCGCTGGAGTGCAGGCCACTGTGTACTCGCTGGAGTGCAGGCCACTGTGTACTCGCTGGAGTGCAGGCCACTGTGTACTCCCTGGAGTGTAGGCCACTGTGTACTCCCTGGAGTGCAGGCCACTGTGTACTCCCTGGAGTGCAAGCCACTGTGTAATTCCTGGTGTGCAGCCCACTGTGTACTCGCTGGAGTGCAGGCCACTGTGTTCTCGCTGGAGTGCAGGCCACTGTGCACTCCCTGGAGTGCAGGCCACTGTGTACTCCTGGACTGACGGCCGAAATGTGCTCCCTGGAGTGCAGACCACTCTGTACTCCTTGGAGTGCAAGCCATTGTGTGCTCCTTGGAGTGCAAGCCATTGTGTACTCACTGGAGTGCAAGCCACTGTGTAATCCCTTTGGTGCAGGCCACTGTGTACTCCCTGGAGTGCAGGCCACTGTGTACTCCCCGGTGTACAGGCCACTGTGCACTCCCCGGTGTACAGGCCACTGTGCATTCCCTGGAGTGCAGGCCATTGTGCACTCCCTGGAGTGCAAGCCACTGTGTACTCCTTGGAGTGTAGGCCACTCTCTGCTCCCTGGAGTGTAGGCCACTCTCTGCTCCCTGGAGTGCAGGCCACTCTCTGCTCCCTGGAGTGCAGGCCACTGTGCACTCCCTGGAGTGCAGGCCACTGTGCACTCCCTGGAGTGCAGGCCACTGTGTACTCACTGGAGTGCAGGCCACTCTTTGCTCCCTGGAGTGCAGGCCACTGTGCACTCCCTGGAGTGCAGGCCACTGTGGACTCCCTGGAGCGCAGGCCACTGTGTGTTCCCTGGAGTGAAGGCCACAATCTACTCCCTGGAGTGAAGGCCACAATTTACTCTCTGCAGTACAGGCCACAATGTACTCTCTGCAGTACAGGCTAGAAGTACATACCATAACTGACACCTGGCAAATACAGAGAAGAATTGTTAATTAAAAATTGACCTTACTAAAATTGCATCTTACAAGTGCAGGAGACAGTAGACGGGAGAGGCATCGTAGACACGATAGACAGGGTAGACGGAAGAGGCATCATAGACACGATAGACAGGGTAGACGGGAGAGGTATCGTAGACAGGGTAGACGCATCGTAGACACGATAGACAGGGTAGACGGGAGAGGCATCGTAGACACGATAGACAGGGTAGACGGGAGAGGCATCGTAGACACGATAGACAGGGTAGACGGGAGAGGCATCGTAAACACGATAGACAGGGTAGACGGGAGAGGCATCGTAGACACGATAGACAGGGTAGACGGGAGAGGCATCGTAGACACGATAGACAGGGTAGACGGGAGAGGCATCGTAGACACGATCGACAGGGTAGGCGGGAGAGGCATCGTAAACACGATAGACAGGGTAGACGGGAGAGGCATCGTAGACACGACAGACAGGGTAGACGGGAGAGGTGTCGTAGACACGATAGACATGGTAGACGGGAAAGGCATCGTAGACTCGATAGACAGGGTAGACGGGAGAGGCATCGTAAACACGATAGACAGGGTAGACGGGAGAGGCATCGTAGACACGATAGACAGGGTAGACGGGAGAGGCATCGTAAACACGATAGACAGGGTAGACGGGAGAGGTGTAGACACGATAGACAGGGTAGACGGGAGAGGCATCGTAGACACTATAGACAGGGTAGACGGGAAAGGCATCGTAGACACGATAGACAGGGTAGACGGGAGAGGCATCGTAGACACGATAGACAGGGTAGACCGGAGAGGCATCGTAGACACAAGAGACAGGGTAGTCGCGATCCTTCCTTCTGTACTCGCGACTTAGTGTATGATCAGTGAGGCTGTTGGTGCTGGTCAGAGAGAGGCGCAGACAGACAGACACACACACACACACACACACACACACCATGTAAAGAGGTCTCACTCAAGTAAGTTAACCTGTAATGTTCAACCAAGCCAGCTGTTATGTAATGTACAGCTGAACAACATATCTGGGTAACGTTCACCTCTGAGGTGCATTGTTACTTAACGTTCAGGTGAACGCTGCGTTGTTAGATTATATCAGCTTGAACAGACCGGAGACACCATGTTGTATTGATCTGAAACACAATGAAACCAGACAGCAGTTGACACTCCCTCTCATTATCATGCTTTTGTTGACACCCTGATTGTTAGGGCGATACCAGGTGTGGGAGGCAGGTGTGAGTGGCAGGGGTGGGTGGCAGGTGTGGGTGGAGGGTGTGAGTGGCAAGTTTGGGAGGCAGGTGTGGGTGGTAGGTGTCGGAGACAGGTGTGGGTGGTAGGTGTTGAAGACATGTTTGTGGCAGGTTTGGGAGGCATGTGTGGTGGTAGGTGTGGGAGACAGATGTTTGTGGCAGATTTGGGAGGCAGGTGTGGATAACAGGTGGGAGAGGCAGGTGTGGATGAGATTTTTTTTTACACAGAATTTGACAAGGTTAGGTTAAGGATCTCTAACTTTATTGGCAAGCTAACAGCTGTTACATACAAGTAGGGAACAGGATGAAGTTGTAGCCATCTGTGGGCCAGCATTTCCATTTGATCAGTTGACTTTATCTCGTTAATATCATAATGCTGAATAAATGCGTTCTGTACTGGAGTCATCCTGGATTCAGGCGTAGAGGAGACAGAGGTAACAGTAAACGTTCTCTTACATCTCTCACTGTCTCTCACACACAGGAGACAGAGGTAACAATAAACGTTCTCTTACATCTCTCACTGTCTCTCACACACAGGAGACAGAGGTAACAATAAACGTTCTCTTACATCTCTCACTGTCTCTCACACACTGCAGTCAAACCCTCTTATCTCTGATCTTGTTTCTATCTCCCACCATTGCACATGCAACAAGGACAATGCAATTGTCATAATATCCAGCCACGACGGCCCAAACATTCTAAATTTTAATTCTTCGCAATGATGTCCAAAGAACAAATTCAAAACAAAATTTCAAATCAAAGGCAAATTCTACTTTCCAGCATTTTTTTAATTCTTAAATCTGCCAATGTCTGCGGCATTACAATCACGTCTCAGTTTTGATGGAAACTTCACGTTTTGGGAAATTTTTTGGAACTGTGTCGGCAACAGTTTTGTAAATCTTCTGAGATTCCGGAGATAATTCACGTCTTATGGCTTGATTCAGGACTCTCGGTGAAACAGTGTACAGTGAAGCAATGTACTGTGTACAGCACAGTGAAGCAATGTACTGTGTACAGCACAGTGAAGCAATGTACTGTGTACAGCACAGTGGAGAAATGTACTGTGTACAGCACAGTGAAGCAATGTACTGTGTACAGCACAGTGGAGAAATGTACTGTGTACAGCACAGTGGAGCAATGTATTGTGTACGGCACAATGGAGCAATGTACTAAGTACAGTATAGAAGGGCAATGTACTGAGTACAGAACAGTAGAGCAATGTACTGTGTACAACAGAGAAAAGCAACATAGTGTGTAAAGCACAGTGTAGCAATGTATTGTGTAGAGCACAGTGTAGCAATGTATTGTGTAGAGCACAGTGTAGCAATGTATTGTGTAGAGCACAGTGTAGCAATGTATTGTGTAGAGCACAGTGTAGCAATGTATTGTGTAGAGCACAGTGGAGCAATGTATTGTGTAGAGCACAGTGTAGCAATGTACTGTGTACAGCACAGTGTAGCAATGTATTGTGTAGAGCACAGTGGAGCAATGTACTGTGTACAGCACAGTGTAGCAATGTATTGTGTAGAGCACAGTGGAGCAATGTATTGTGTAGAGCACAGTGTAGCAATGTATTGTGTAGAGCACAGTGGAGCAATGTACTGCGTACAGCACAGTGTAGCAATGTACTGTGTACAGCACAGTGTAGCAATGTATTGTGTAGAGCACAGTGGAGCAATGTATTGTGTAGAGCACAGTGTAGCAATGTATTGTGTAGAGCACAGTGTAGCAATGTATTGTGTAGAGCACAGTGGAGCAATGTATTGTGTAGAGCACAGTGTAGCAATGTATTGTGTAGAGCACAGTGTAGCAATGTATTGTGTAGAGCACAGTGGAGCAATGTATTGTGTAGAGCACAGTGTAGCAATGTATTGTGTAGAGCACAGTGGAGCAATGTATTGTGTAGAGCACAGTGTAGCAATGTATTGTGTAGAGCACAGTGGAGCAATGTATTGTGTAGAGCACAGTGTAGCAATGTATTGTGTAGAGCACAGTGTAGCAATGTATTGTGTAGAGCACAGTGTAGCAATGTATTGTGTAGAGCACAGTGTAGCAATGTATTGTGTAGAGCACAGTGTAGCAATGTATTGTGTAGAGCACAGTGTAGCAATGTACTGTGTACAGCACAGAACAGCAATGTACTGTGTACAGCACAATAGAGAATTATACTGTGTAGAGCAAAGTAGAGCAATTTACTGTGCATAGCAGAGTAGAGCAATGTACTGTGTACAGCACAGTGGACCAATGTACTATGTACAGTACAGTAGAGCAATGTACTGTGTACAGCACAGTGGAGCAAAGTACTGTGCACAGCACAGTGGGGCATTGTACTGTGTACAGCACAGTATAGCAATGTACTGTGTACAGCACAGTATAGCAATGTATTGTGTACAGCACAGTTTAGCAATGTACTGTGTACAGCACAGCGCAGCAACCCGCTGTGAACACAGTATAGGAATGTACTGTGTACAGCACAGTGGGCCAATATACTGTGTAAAGCAGAGTAGAACAATGTACTGTGTACAGCACAGTAAAGCTATGTACTGTGTACAGCGTGGTAGAAGCAAGTACTGTGTACAGCACAGTGGGGCAATGTACTGTTTACAGCACAGAGCAATGCACTGTGTACCGCACAGTGCAACAATGTACTGTGAACATCACAGAAGAGCAATGTACTGTGTACAGCACAGTGGTGCAGTGTAGTGTACAGCACAGTGGAGCAAAGTACTGTGTACAGCACAGTAGACCAATGTACTGTGTACACCACAGTGGATCAATGTACTGTGTACAGCACAGTGGAGCAATGTACTTTGTAGAGCACAGTGTAGCAGTGTACTGTGTACAGCACAGTGTAGCAATGTACTGAGTACAGCACAGTAGAGCAATGTACTGTGTATACCACAACAGAGCAATGTACTGTGTACAGTACAGTACAGCAACGTATTGAGTACAGCACAGTCTGGCAATGTAGTGTGTACAGCACAGTGGAGCAATGTACTGAGTACAGTGAAGCAATGTACTGTGTACAGCACAGTGGGACAGTGTACTTTGTACTGCACAGTAAATCTCTCTACTGTGTACAGCGCAGTGGAGTAATGTACTAATTACAGCACAGTAGAGCAATGTTTTGTATGCAACACAGTAGAGGAATGTTTGTGTACAGCACAACAGAGCAGTGTACTGTGTACATCACAGTAAAGCACTGTACTGTGTACAACACAGTGGAGCAATGTATTATGTACACTACAGTGGAGAAATGTACTGAGTACAGCACACTGCAGCAAATTATTCTGAACAGTATAGAGGAGCAATGTACTGATTACAGCACAATGGAGCAATGTATTGTGTACAGCACAGATAGAGCAATGTACTGTGTACAACACAACAGAACTATGTCATGTGTACAGCACAGTGGAGCACTGCACTGTGTACAGCAAAGTGGAGCAATGTACTGTGTACAGATCAGTGGCGCAATGTACTGTGTACAGAACAGAGAGCAATGTATTGTGTACAGCATGTAACAAAGCACTATGTACAGCAGAGAGCAATGAACTGTGTACGGCACAGTAGAGCAATGTACTGTGCACAGCACAGTGGAGCATTGCACTGTGTAAGGCACATTATAGCAGTGTACTGTGTACGGCACAGTGGAGCAATGTATTGTGTACAGCATGGAGCAATGTACTGTGTACAACACAGAGCAATGTACTGTGTAGAGCACAGTGGAGCAATGTACTGTGTAGAGCACAGTGGAGCAATGTACTGTGTACAGCACAGAGCAATGTACTGTGTGAAGCACAGTGGAGCAATGTACTGTGTACAGCACAGAGCAATGTACTGTGTAGAGCACAGTGGAACAAGTTATTGTGTACAGCACAGTGGAACAATGCACTGTGTACGCCAAAATAGAGCAATGTACCGAGTACAACACAGTGGAGCAATGAACTGTGTACACCACAACAGAGCAATATAATGTGTACACCACAATAGAGAAATGTACTGTATACACTACAACAGAGCAGTGAACTTGGTTCAGCACAGAAGAGCAATGTACTGTGTACAGCACAGTGGAACAATGTACTGTGTACAGCACAGTGGAGCAATGTACTGTGTACAGCTCAGTGGAGCAATGTACTGTGTACAGCACAGTGGAGCAATGTACTGTGTACAGCACTGTAGAGCAATGTACTGTGTGCAGCACAGTGCAGGAATATACTGTGTACAGCACAGTAGAGCAATGTTGTGTACAGCACAGTAATGTGCTCTGTGCACCACAATAGAGCAAAGTACTGTGTCTAGTACAGTGGAGCAATGTACTGTGTCCAGTACAGTGGAGCAATGTACTATGCAGAGCACAGTAGAGCAATGAATTGTGTACACCACAATAGAGCAATTTACTGTGTACACAATAGAGCAATGCACTGTGTATACCATAATAGAGCAATGTAATGTGTACAGCACAGTGGAGCAATGTAATGTGTACAGCACAATGGAGCAATGTACTGTGTACAGCACTGTGGAACACTGTACTGTGTACAGCACAATGGAGCAATGTACTGTGTACAGCACTGTGGAACACTGTACTGTGTACAGCACAGTGGAGAAATGTACTGTGCACAGCACTGTGAAGCTCTGTACTGTGTACAGCACTGTGGAGCACTGTACTGTGTACACGTGAGGGAAATGTTCGGTATAGGAGAATGGAAATTGTGAATGCATGGTGATTGTTGTTTGTTGGCAGTCTGGTAGTTAAGGCAGGTGGTGTCTGGCACCCGTTATCCCCCCCCCCCCATTCTCTTCACCAGGTGGGAAGTGATATATGAATCTCCAACCAGTCAGTGGAGGAATCACTTGACTGGCTGCTTCCATCAAACCTGTAAGTATGCGTTCCACTCCAGTAATATTAATTTCTTTGTTTGTGTTAAGAGCTACACTCTTATTTCGGCCTGTACACTTGTGTTTATTCCTGCCTTGCTTTAAATTTAACGTCATTTTTATTAATTCTCACCATTTCTTTTAAAGGTTGTACGCCTCTCGTGAGTGATTTAGCGAGCAGGTTGTAACTATATTTATTTCCCATTTATAGAATTGAATTGTCGGAGTGGGTCATCTGACACGGGCGAGGTGAAGATAAGGACAGCAGATATCTGGCGAAGATATATTGCTATAACCGCACATACCTACCGTACAACCGCCCCCTTTCACTCGTAACCTCACCCTGCCAGCTACACACCCAGCGTATTTACGTGTCTTGTCGGAATACTCAACGTCGTGATAAGAGGATTAGTTCACCTTGGCAGAATCTCAGTATGGAAACCATAATTGGAGTCACGAACTGATGTAAAACCTCTCCAACAACGGCTTGAGAGTTCTACTGTATCAACAACATCGACACGCCCTTCTACAACTACACCTGTACAAATTAATTTTTAAGCCACTTATCCTTTATGTTTCACTTTACTTTCAAACTGGATTAATTCTCATGTTAAACTGTTTTACATTTATGCTTAAAGTCATCCAATAAAAATGTTAATCTTCCAATGGTATTATTACGTTATCAATCATTTGTTTCCATAAAGAGGCCCCTCAAGGAAGGTTCCTTGATGTTGGTGAGGGGCTCTTGATTTAGGGAATTGGATCTGTGCTCCAGTTCCCCGAATTAAGCCTGAATGCCTTCCACATCCCCCCCCCAGGCGCTGTATAATCCTCCGGGTTTAGCGCTTCCCCTTGATAATAATAATAATAATCCATAAAGAGGAGTCAGCTGTATCACTTCCTTACTAAGCAGGTGACAGGGCGGAGTAAGACTTCACAGTACAGCACAGTGGAGCACTGTACTGTGTACAGCCAAGTCAAGTACTCTATTGTGTACACCACAGTGGAGCACTGTACTGTGGACAGCACAGCGGAGCACTGTACTGTGTACAGCACAGCGGAGCACTGCACTGTGTACAGCACAGTGCACCACTGCACTGTGTACAGCACAGTGGAGCACTGAGTTGTGTACACATTGGAGCACTGTATTGTGTACAGCACACGGAAGCACTGCACTGTGTACAGCACAGCGGAGCACTGTACTATGTACAGCACAAAGGACCACTGTACTGTGTACAGCACAACGGAGCATTGTACTATGCAGAGCATAGCGGAGCACTGTACTGTGAACAGCACAGTGGAGCACTGTACCGTGTACAAAACAATCGGGCACTGTAATGTGTACATCACTCTGGAGCACAACTGTGCACAGAACAGCGGAGCACTGCACTGTGTAGAGCACAGCGGAGCACTGTACTCTGCACAGTGCAGTGGAGCATTGTACTGTGTACAGCACAGCGTAGCACTGTACTGTGGACAGCACAGCGGAGCACTGTACTGTGAACAGCACAGCGGAGCACTGTATTGTGAACAGCACAGCGGAGCACTGTACTGTGTACAGCACAGTGGAGCACTGCACTGTGTACAGCACAGTGCAGCACTACACTGTGTACAGCACAGTGCACCACTGCACAGTGTAAAGCACATTGAACCACTGTACTGTGTACAGCACAGTGGACCATTGTACTGTGTACAGCACAGTGGAGCACTGCACTGTGTACAGCATAGTGCACCACTTCACTGTGAACAGCACATTGGACCATTGTACTGTGTACAGCACAGTGGAGCACTGTGTTGTGTACAGCGCAGTGGAGAACTGTACTGTGAACAACACAGCGGAGCACTGTACTGTGTACAGCACAGTGGAGCACCGCACTGTGTACAGCACAGTGCAGCAATACACTGTGTACAGCACAGTGGACCACTGTACTGTGTACAGCACAGTGGAGCACTCTGTTGTGTACACCAAAATGAGCACTATACTGTGTACAGCACACGGGAGCACTGTACTCCGTACAGCAGAAAGGATCACTGTACTGTGTACAGCACAGAGGAATACTGTACTGTGTACAGCATAGCGGGGCTCTGTACTGTGAACAGCACAAAAAAGCACTGCACTCTGTACAACACAGTGGAGCACTGTACTGTGTATAGCACTGTAATGTGCACATAATAGCGGCGCATTGTACCGTGTAGAGTACAGCGGAGCACTCTGCTCTGTACAGCACAGTGGAGCAATGTACTGTGAACGGCACAACGGAGCACTGTATTGTGAACAGCAAATCGGAGCACTGTACTGTGTACAGCACAGTGGTGCACTGTACTGTGTACAGCACAGTAGAGCACAGCACAGCGTAGCACTGTATTGTGTACAGTACAGCGTAGCACTGTACTGTGTACAGTACACCGGAGCACTGTACTGCGTACAACACACCGGAGCATTGTACTGTGAACAGCACAGTGGGGCCCTGTACTGTGTACAGCACACTGGAGCACTGTACTGTGTAGAGCACAGTGGAGCACTGGACTGTGTGCAGCACAGCGGAGCACTGCACTGTGTACAGCACAGTGCAGCACTGTACTGTATACAGCACAGTGGAGACTGTACTATGTACAGCACAGTGGAGCACTGCACAGTGGCGCACTGTACTCTGAACAGCACATTATAGCACTGTACTGTGTTGAGCATATAGATGCACCGTACTGCGTACTGCACAGTGGAGCATTGTACAGTGTACAGCACAGCGGAGCTTTGTACTCTTTACAGCAGAGTGGAGCTCTATACTGTGCACAGCACAGCGGAGCATTGTACTTTGTAAAGCACAGTGGAGCACTGTACTATGTACAGCATATTGGAGCACTGTAGTGTGTACAGCAAAGTGCATCAATGTACTGTGTATAGCACAGTGTAGCCCTATATTCTGTACAACACAGCGGAGCACTGTACTGTGTACAGCATTGTGGACCACTGTACTGCGTACTGCACAGTGGAGCATTGTACTGTTTACAGCACAGTTAAGCACTGCACTGTGTACAGCACAGTGTAGACTTTACTAGTACAGCACAGTGGAGCACTGTACTGCGAATAGCACAGTGGAGCACTGTACTGCGAATAGCACAGTGGATCACTGTACTATATACAGCACAGTGGAGCACTGTAGTGTGTACTGCACAGTGGGGCACTGTTCTGTGTAGAGCACAGTGGAGCACTGTACTGTGTACAACACAGAGGAACATTGTACTGTGTACAGCAGAGCGGAGCACTCTACTGTGTAGAGCAGATTGGAGAACTCTACGGTGAACATTACAGAGGAGCACTGTACTGTACAGAGCACAGCCGATCACTGTACTGTGCATAGAACAATGGTGCACTTTACTGTGTTCAGCACATGGAAGCACTGTACTGTGTTCAGCTCAGAGGATCACTGTACTGTGTACAGCACACTGGAACACTGTACTGTGTACTGCACAATGGAGCACTGCACTGTGTACAGCACAACGGAGCATTGTAATGTGTACATCACAGTGGAGCACTGTACTGCGCACAGCACAGTGGAGCATTGTTCTGTGTACAGCACAGTGGAGCCCTGTGTTCTGTACAGCACAACGGCGCATTGTACTGTGTACAGCACAACGGAGGACTGTACTGTGTACAGCAAAACGGAGTACTCTACTTTGTGCAGCACAACGGAGTACTGTACTAAGTACAGCACAGTGGATCACTGTATTGTGTACAGCACAGTGCAACACTGTATTGTGTACAGCACAGCGGAGCACTATACTGTGTACAGCACAGTGGAACACTGTACTGAGTACAGCACAGTGGAGCATTGTGTTGTGAACAGGACACGGAGCGCTGTATTGTCTACAGCACAGCTGAACACTGAACTTTGAACAGCATAGCGGAGCACTGTACTGTGTACAGCAGAGCGGAGCACTGTACTGTGCACAGCACAACGGAGCACTGTACTGTTTACAGCACACGCGGCACTGTACTGTGTACACCGCAGCGGAGCACTGTACTGTGTACAGCGCTGTTGAGTACTGTACTCTGCGCAGCACATTGGAACTCTGTACTGAGTACAGCACAGTGAAGCACTGTACTGTGTACAACACAGTGGAGCATTGTACTGTGCATACTACAGTGGGGCACTGAACTGTGTACAGCACAGTGGAGCACTGTACTGTGTACAGTACAGCGGAGCACTGTACTGTGTACATCACAGTGGAGCACTGTACTGTGTACAGGACAATGGAGCACTGGACTGTGTACACCACAGCGGAGCACAGTATTGTGTTCAGCACAGTGGAGCATTGTACTGTGTATAGCATAGAGGAGCACTGTACTGTGTACAGTACAGCGGACCACTGTACTGTGTAAAACACAGTGGAGCACTGTACTGTATACAGCTCATTAAAACACTATGCTGTGTACAGCACAGTGGAGCACTGCACTGTGTACAGCACAGTGGAGCACTGTTCTGCATACAGCGCTGTGGAGCACTGTACTGTGCACAGCACAGTGAAGTTCTGTACTGAGTACAGCACAGTGAAACACTGTACTGTGAACAGCACAGTGGAGCATTGTACTGTGTATACTACAGTGGAGCACTGTACTGTGTACAGCACACCGGAACATTGTACTGTGTACAGCACACTGGAGCACTGTACTGTGTACAGCACAGTGGAGCACCGTACTGTGTACAGGACAATAGAGCATTGTACTGTGTAGAGCACAGCGGAGCACTGTACTGTGTACAGGACAGCGGACCACTGTACTGTGTACAGCACAGCGGACCACTGTACTGTGTACAGCACAGCGGACCACTGTACTGTGTACAGCACAGCGGACCATTGTACTGTGTACAGCACAGCGGACCACTGTACTGTGTACAGCACAGTGGAGCACTGTACTGTGTACAGCAGACCAGAGCACTGTGATTTGTACATCATAGCGGATCACTGTAATATGTACAGAAATCGGAGCATTGTACTGTGTACAGCACAACGGAACACTATACTGTGTACAGCACACTGGAGCATTGTATTTTGTACAGTACACTGGAGCACTGCACTGTGCAAAGCACAGTGGAGCATTGTACTGTGTATAGCACAGTGGAGCCCTGTACTGTGTACAGCACAGCGAAGCACTGTACTGTGTACAGCACACCGGAACACTGTACTGTCTACAGCAGAGAGGACCACTGTACTGTCTACAGCACACTGGAGCACTGTATTCTGAAGAGCACAGCGTAGCACTGTACAGTGTACAGTACAGTGTAGAACTGTACTGTGAACAGTACAGAGGAGCATTGTACTATGTACGGCACAATAGAGCGCGGATCTGTGTGCACCACAGAGGAGCACTGTACTATGTACAGCACAGTGGACTACTGTACTGTGTAAAGCGCAGTGGAGCATTGTACTGTGTACAGTACAGTGGAGCACTGTGCAATGTACAGCACAGTGGAGCACTGCACAGTGTACAGCACAGTGGAAGATTGTACTGTGCACAGCACAGTGGATCATACTTATGTGATCAGCAGAGTTGAGCCCTGTACTGTGTACAACACAGAGGAGCACTGTCCTGTGTACAGCACAGCGGAACACTGTACTGTGTAAAGCACAGTGGAGCACTGTACTCTGTATGCAACAGTAGTGAAATTCACTGTGTAGAACACATTTGAGCACTGTATTGTGTACAGCA